GAGGGTGAAGGACTGGAGGGTGAAGGACTGGAGGGTGAAGGACTGGAGGGTGAAGGACTGGAGGGTGAAGGACTGGAGGGTGGAGGACTGGAGGGTGAAGGACTGGAGGGTGAAGGACTGGAGGGTGAAGGACTGGAGGGTGAAGGACTGGAGGGTGAAGGACTGGAGGGTGAAGGACTGGAGGGTGAAGGACTGGAGGGTGACTGGAGGACTGGAGGGTGAAGGACTGGAGGGTGAAGGACTGGAGGGTGAAGGACTGGAGGGTGAAGGACTGGAGGGTGAAGGACTGGAGGGTGAAGGACTGGAGGGTGAAGGACTGGAGGGTGAAGGACTGGAGGGTGAAGGACTGGAGGGTGAAGGACTGGAGGGTGGAGGTGAAGGACTGGAGGGTGAAGGACTGGAGGGTGAAGGACTGGAGGGTGGAGGGTGAAGGACTGGAGGGTGAAGGACTGGAGGGTGAAGGACTGGAGGGTGAAGGACTGGAGGGTGAAGGACTGGAGGGTGAAGGACTGGAGGGTGGACTGGAGGGTGAAGGACTGGAGGGTGAAGGACTGGAGGGTGGAGGGTGAAGGACTGGAGGGTGAAGGACTGGAGGTGAAGGACTGGAGGGTGAAGGACTGGAGGGTGAAGGACTGGAGGGTGAAGGACTGGAGGGTGAAGGACTGGAGGGTGGAGGACTGGAGGGTGAAGGACTGGAGGGTGAAGGACTGGAGGGTGAAGGACTGGAGGGTGGAGGACTGGAGGGTGAAGGACTGGAGGGTGAAGGACTGGAGGGTGAAGGACTGGAGGGAAGGACTGGAGGGGACTGGAGGGTGAAGGACTGGAGGGTGAAGGACTGGAGGGTGAAGGACTGGAGGGTGAAGGACTGGAGGGAAGGACTGGAGGGTGAAGGACTGGAGGGTGAAGGACTGGAGGGTGAGGACTGGACTGGAGGGTGAAGGACTGGAGGGTGAAGGACTGGAGGGTGAAGGACTGGAGGGTGAAGGACTGGAGGGTGAAGGACTGGAGGGTGAAGGACTGGAGGGTGAAGGACTGGAGGGTGAAGGACTGGAGGGTGAAGGACTGGAGGGTGAAGGACTGGAGGGTGAAGGACTGGAGGGTGAAGGACTGGAGGGTGAAGGACTGGAGGGTGAAGGACTGGAGGGTGGAAGGACTGGAGGGTGAAGGACTGGAGGGTGAAGGACTGGAGGGTGAAGGACTGGAGGGTGAAGGACTGGAGGGTGACTGGAGGGTGAAGGACTGGAGGGTGAAGGACTGGAGGGTGAAGGACTGGAGGGTGAAGGACTGGAGGGTGAAGGACTGGAGGGTGAAGGACTGGAGGGTGAAGGACTGGAGGGTGACTGGAGGGTGAAGGACTGGAGGGTGAAGGACTGGAGGGTGAAGGACTGGAGGGTGGAGGACTGGAGGGTGAAGGACTGGAGGGTGAAGGACTGGAGGGTGAAGGACTGGAGGGTGAAGGACTGGAAGGACTGGAGGGTGAAGGACTGGAGGGTGAAGGACTGGAGGGTGAAGGACTGGAGGGTGGAGGACTGGAGGGTGAAGGACTGGAGGGTGAAGGACTGGAGGGTGAAGGACTGGAGGGTGAAGGACTGGAGGGTGAAGGACTGGAGGGTGAAGGACTGGAGGGTGAAGGACTGGAGGGTGAAGGACTGGAGGGTGAAGGACTGGAGGGTGAAGGACTGGAGGGTGGAGGAGGACCCTGGAGGGTGGAGGAGCAGCCTGGAGGGTGGAGGAGGACCCTGGAGGGTGGAGGAGCAGCCTGGAGGGTGGAGGAGCAGCCTGGAGGGTGGAGGAGGACCCTGGAGGGTGGAGGAGGACCCTGGAGGGTGGAGGACTGGAGGGTGGAGGAGCAGCCTGGAGGGTGGAGGAGGACCCTGGAGGGTGAAGGACTGGAGGGTGAAGGACTGGAGGGTGACTGGAGGGTGAAGGACTGGAGGGTGAAGGACTGGAGGGTGGACTGGAGGACTGGAGGGTGAAGGACTGGAGGGTGAAGGACTGGAGGGTGAAGGACTGGAGGGTGAAGGACTGGAGGGTGAAGGACTGGAGGGTGGACTGGAGGACTGGAGGGTGGAGGACTGGAGGGTGAAGGACTGGAGGGTGAAGGACTGGAGGGTGAAGGACTGGAGGGTGAAGGACTGGAGGGTGAAGGACTGGAGGGTGAAGGACTGGAGGGTGGAGGACTGGAGGTGGAGGACTGGAGAGTGAAGGACTGGAGGGTGAAGGACTGGAGGGTGAAGGACTGGAGGGTGAAGGACTGGAGGGTGAGGACTGGAGGGTGACTGGAGGTGGGACTGGAGGGTGAAGGACTGGAGGGTGAAGGACTGGAGGGTGAAGGACTGGAGGGTGGGACTGGAGGGTGAAGGACTGGAGGGTGAAGGACTGGAGGGTGAAGGACTGGAGGGTGAAGGACTGGAGGGTGAAGGACTGGAGGGTGAAGGACTGGAGGGTGAAGGACTGGAGGGTGAAGGACTGGAGGGTGAAGGACTGGAGGGTGAAGGACTGGAGGGTGAAGGACTGGAGGGTGAAGGACTGGAGGGTGAAGGACTGGAGGGTGAAGGACTGGAGGGTGAAGGACTGGAGGGTGAAGGACTGGAGGGTGAAGGACTGGAGGGTGAAGGACTGGAGGGTGAAGGACTGGAGGGAAGGACTGGAGGGTGAAGGACTGGAGGGTGAAGGACTGGAGGGTGAAGGACTGGAGGGTGGAGGACTGGAGGTGAAGGACTGGAGGGTGACTGGAGGGTGGAGGACTGGAGGGAAGGAGGAGAGTGAAGGACTGGAGGGTGAAGGACTGGAGGGTGAAGGACTGGAGGGTGAAGGACTGGAGGGTGGAAGGACTGGAGGGTGAAGGACTGGAGGGTGAAGGACTGGAGGGTGAAGGACTGGAGGGTGAAGGACTGGAGGGTGAAGGACTGGAGGGTGAAGGACTGGAGGGTGAAGGACTGGAGGGTGGAGGGTCAAGGACTGGAGGGTGAAGGACTGGAGGGTCAAGGACTGGAGGGTGAAGGACTGGAGGGTGAAGGACTGGAGGGTGGACTGGAGGACTGGAGGGTGAAGGACTGGAGGGTGAAGGACTGGAGGGTGAAGGACTGGAGGGTGAAGGACTGGAGGGTCAAGGACTGGAGAGTGAAGGACTGGAGGGTGAAGGACTGGAGGGTGGAGGACTGGAGGGTGAAGGACTGGAGGGTGGAGGACTGGAGGGTGAAGGACTGGAGGGTGAAGGACTGGAGGGTGAAGGACTGGAGGGTGAAGGACTGGAGGGTGGAGGACTGGAGGGTGAAGGACTGGAGGGTCAAGGACTGGAGAGTGAAGGACTGGAGGGTGAAGGACTGGAGGGTGGAGGACTGGAGGGTGAAGGACTGGAGGGTGGAGGACTGGAGGGTGAAGGACTGGAGGGTGGAGGACTGGAGGGTGAAGGACTGGAGGGTGAAGGACTGGAGGGTGAAGGACTGGAGGGTGAAGGACTGGAGGGTGAAGGACTGGAGGGTGAAGGACTGGAGGGTGGAGGACTGGAGGGTGAAGGACTGGAGGGTGGAGGACTGGAGGGTGAAGGACTGGAGGGTGGAGGACTGGAGGGTGAAGGACTGGAGGGTGGAGGACTGGAGGGTGGAGGACTGGAGGGTGAAGGACTGGAGGGTGGAGGACTGGAGGGTGAAGGACTGGAGGGTGGAGGACTGGAGGGTGGAGGACTGGAGGGTGAAGGACTGGAGGGTGAAGGACTGGAGGGTGGAGGACTGGAGGGTGGAGGACTGGAGGGTGAAGGACTGGAGGGTGAAGGACTGGAGGGTGAAGGACTGGAGGGTGAAGGACTGGAGGGTGGAGGACTGGAGGGTGGAGGACTGGAGGGTGAAGGACTGGAGGGTGGAGGACTGGAGGGTGGAGGACTGGAGGGTGAAGGACTGGAGGGTGAAGGACTGGAGGGTGAAGGACTGGAGGGTGAAGGACTGGAGGGTGAAGGACTGGAGAAACCCAACCCAACGCAGCTGGCCTGTAATCTTGGACACACAGACGGAGTTTCTCTGCTAAAAAATAACACTAGAAGGAGTTGCCAGCAGTGCCCAGGTGTGTGTCTGTGGAGAAACACAAGTTGCTGCAGAAAGTTACAGGAAGACCTTGACAATCTCCAGGAGTGGTCAAACAAGTGGCTGCTGGAATTCAGTCTCAACAAATGAAATGTAATTAAGATTGGAAAGGAATAGAGGAGAACAGAAGGGGAAGATAACAGGAATAACACTCGCACCGGAGGCACACTCACACAGGATAACATCAGCAGCATATGGGATGCTGGCAAATATATGTACATCATTTAGAAACTTAAATCAAGACACCTTCAAAGAAATCTACGCAACATTTGTAATACCAACACTGGATTATGCAGCACCGGCGTGGAACCCGCACCTTGGGAAACAAAGCCAAAATTGAAAAAGAACAAAAGTTTTCCATAAGATTAGTGCCCGAGCTAAGAGGGTTAAACTACGAGGATAAGTTAATGGAACTAAATCTCACAACCCTAGATGATAGAAGGAACAGAGGAGATATGATCACAACCTATAAGATATTTAGAGGAATAGATAAGGTGGACAAGGATAGACTCTTCAGACTGAGAGAAAGCAAGACAAGAGGACACAAGTGGAAGCGTCAATGAGCTTATGGGACGTTAGCAAGTACTCGTACCCTGTACGGGTAGTTAACAAGTGAAATGATCTAAAATAGGAAGTTATGGAAGCCACCTCCATCCACAACTTTATGGCCATATTCAACAAACAGTTTGGACGTCGGAATAGATAAATTGTAATGCAATAAGTATCACAAGGCTGGTAGGCGGGGCACACAGAGCTAGACCTCACTCCCCTGTAGATAGGTAAGTACTGATAGGTAAATACCATCACCACCCACATCATCACCTCTACCAAGCCACCACCCACACCACCACCCACACCACCACCCACCACACCACAAGCACCACCACCCACACCACCACCACCAGCACCACCACCACCCACCTGATGTTATCGGTGACCCAGCGGAAGAGCACCCTCACCATCTGAAGGTTGTCCTCCGTGGGATGACACAAGAAGGCCACCAGCTCCTCCAAGTCCTCCGTCACCTGTCAAAGATACCCGTGTTAAGACCACTACACCACAAGACGGGGTCGTGTGTTGACCACCACCACCCACCACCTGACAATGGTCCAGGACGGTCACTACACGTCGCCGTCTCTTCATCTTCTGGCGTGTGTTTGGTCATCATATATTCAGCCATACTTGTTACTTCTTAATACTTTTTGATTGCATGCATATACATATACATATATAATACACATAGGGAGATACAGTTATGCACACACACCCATTTTTAATAACAATCCCCAACAGTCTAAGTGATTGGGCACTATTCCTTTCCTCCGTCCTAAATCCTTATCCTTTTCAAGTCTTATATTGTAGTATTGGCTTAGTGCGCTCTTCTTATAATTACCTTAACTCTTAACAATAATACTTATCACCAGTACCTGGTCTGGGGCCAGGAGGGGAGTGGGGGGGGGGGGGGGGTAACCCACACTACCACCAGTACCTGATGACCAGACCACACACTAGAATGTGAAGGGACGACGACGTTTCGGTCCGTCCTGGACCATTCTCAAGTCGATTGTGACTTGAGAATGGTCCAGGATGGACCGATACGTCGTCGTCCCTTCACATTCTAGTGTGTGGTCTTGTCATCATACTTTAGCCACGTTATTGTGACTCATCGCCTGCACCAGTACCTGGTCTGAGGCCAGGAGGGGGGGGGGGTGGTTGGTAACCCACAGTACCAGCAGTACCTGGTCTGAGGCCAGGAGGGGGGGGGGTAACCCACAGTACCAGCAGTACCTGGTCTGAGGCCAGGAGGGGGGGGTAACCCACAGTACCAGCAGTACCTGGTCTGAGGCCAGGAGGGGATGGGGGTAACCCACAGTACCAGCAGTACCTGGTCTGAGGCCAGGAGGGGGGGGGGTAACCCACAGTACCAGCAGTACCTGGTCTGAGGCCAGGAGAACATGGGCGTCCGTGTCGCTGAAGTCAGCCTCGGCCAGCAGCTCAGCCTTCCTACACTGTGGCGGCTGGGCAGCGAACTGGGGCGCCTCGTCCGTCAGGATGTCGTTATCCGTCTGCACACTCACGTCCACCTGTAAGGAGTCATTACTATATAGTTACGTCATTACCGCAACTGTTACGTCATCACCATATAAGTGACGTCATTAGCTCGCGAGGTCATGACGTCACACGGTGATGCCCGTGTGGGTGCCAACGCTGCGTGTCACAGTTCAGAGATACAATGCAAGCTTGGCCGGCCACAAACCAAGTCGTATGGCTTATATCAACTAATTCATATTCGTATGTCATACGCACGACAACGTACGGTTTCGTATGAAAAAAGTTGTGTTCTATGATATACAGGTATACATGCGTGAGTGTTGTGTGGTATACATGTGCTTGCGTGAGTGTTGTGTGTTATACATGTGCTTGAATGAGGGTTGTGTGTTATACATGGCCTTGTGTAAAGGTTGTGTGGTATACATGACCTTGTGTAAGGGTTATGTGGTATACATGGCCTTGTGTAAGGGTTGTGTGGTATACTTGGCCTCGTGTAAGGGTTGTGTGGTATACATAACCTCGTGTAAGGGTTGTGTGGTATACATAACCTCGTGTAAGGGTTGTGTGGTATACATAACCTCGTGTAAGGGTTGTGTGGTATACATAACCTCGTGTAAGGGTTGTGTGGTATACATGGCCTTGTGTTAACAAATGGAAGGCACCAGGCAGTGTAGGGCTGGAGACAGACACAATACACAGTTTCAGATGAAGGTATGAAAAATCCCTATAGGCTCTGGAGCTTGTACACACAATCCGTTCTCAGACCAAGTCCATTCCTTCCAGCGGTCAACCCCACAGAAGCATTCATAAATGTTAACATGCTGCTCATTCAAAACAGGAATTTTCTCAAATATAAATTAATATTATAATATATTAGCATATTGTGCATATATAGGCATAGGTTAGGTTAGCTTAGGTGTTTAGGTTCTGTTGGCGATTATTTGTATTTGTAGTACGTGGGTGAAGCATTTATAGCGTTGTGATTCGAACAAAATTCGTCAGTGAAGCACTTGTTCCGGATATGTTCGAACGTCAGCAGTTGTGAGTCAGCCCGTCCTCCAAACAAAGATCCAAAAGTGATTCCATGCACCCGCCAAACTCCCTGTTTATGAATGAAAAGCGATTTACACACGACTCACAACTGCTGACGTTCGAACATATCCGGAACAAGTGCTTCACTGACGAATTTTGTTCGAACCACAACGCTATAAATGCTTCACCCACGTACTACAAATACAAATAATCACCAACAGAACCTAAACACCTAAGCTAACCTATCCTATGCCTATATATACACAATATGCTAATATATTATAATATTAATTTATACTTGAGAAAATTCATGTTTTGAATGAACAGCATGTTAAAATTTATGAATGCGTCTGTGGGGTCGACCGCTGAATGTAATGGACTTGAGTCGAGGATGGGTTGTGTGAGTCGTGTGCAAATCGCTTTTTATTCATAAACAGGGGGTTTGGCGGGTGCATGGAATCACTTTTGTATCTTTGTTTGGAGGACGGGCTGTTAATAGCGTTGTGGTTCGAACAAAATTCGTCAGTGAAGCACTTGTTCCGGACGTCATCAGTTGTGAGTCGTGTGTAAACCGTTTTCATTCATAAACAGGGCGGGGTTTGGCGGGTGCATGGAATGGACTTTGGGCTTTGTTTATGAGGACGGGCTGCATTGATGGTTGAGAGGTGAGACAAAAGAGGCGAAGCTCAACCCTTGTGCGTGCGCACGCATTTACACACACACAAACACAGCTGAACACCAGTTGATTGACAGTTGAGAGGTGGGACCAAAGTGCCAGAGCTCAACCCCCGCAACCACAACCAGGTGAGTACACACACGGTCACACCCACAGAACACTCACCATGATCATACGAACGCGGTGCGGCCTTGGCAGGACCGTAAGACCCGTCATCAAGAGGTTGTCCACACCCAGGCGCGCCAGTCTGGTCCAGCGCTGATGGGCGACCCTCCTGGCCTCGTTCCTGCCGGTGGTGTCCGCGGGCTGCTGCTCCTCCGCAGGGGCGGGCGGTGGCGGGCTTGGAGGAGGGGTGGCGAGGGCAGGAACCACTGGCAGAAGCTGCTGGCGAGGCATGGCGGACCCCAGCCCCGACGTGGATGGACCAGAGCTGGCGTCTGCCAGGTCAATCTCATCCCCCGACGCCTGGCTGATGCTGCTGACACACGGCCATGGTCAGTGAGGGTCCAGTGGTCACTCTATCTTAATGTGTCCTTTATGTGTTGACCCATATACTCGGAATTATAATTGTGGAGGTGTATGTCAGTACACAAACATCAGGAGGTGTATGTCAGTATACACAAACATCAGGAGGTGTATGTCAGTATACACAAACATCAGGAGGTGTATGTCAGTATACACAACCATCAGGAGGTGTATGTCAGTATACAACCATCAGGAGGTGTATGTCGGTACACAAACATCAGGAGGTGTATGTCAGTACACAACCATCAGGAGGTGTATGTCAGTATACACAAACATCAGGTGGTGTATGTCAGTATACACAAACATCAGGAGGTGTATGTCAGTACACAAACATCAGGAGGTGTATGTCAGTACACAAACATCAGGTGGTGTATGTCAGTACACAAACATCAGGAGGTGTATGTCAGTACACAAACATCAGGTGGTGTATGTCAGTATACACAAACATCAGGTGGTGTATGTCAGTACACAACCATCAGGAGGTGTATGTCAGTACACAAACATCAGGAGGTGTATGTCAGTACACAACCATCAGGAGGTGTATGTCAGTATACACAAACATCAGGAGGTGTATGTCAGTACACAAACATCAGGAGGTGTATGTCAGTACACAAACATCAGGAGGTGTATGTCAGTACACAAACATCAGGAGGTGTATGTCAGTACACAAACATCAGGTGGTGTATGTCAGTACACAACCATCAGGAGGTGTATGTCAGTACACAAACATCAGGAGGTGTATGTCAGTACACAAACATCAGGAGGTGTATGTCAGTACACAAACATCAGGAGGTGTATGTCAGTACACAAACATCAGGAGGTGTATGTCAGTACACAAACATCAGGTGGTGTATGTCAGTACACAACCATCAGGAGGTGTATGTCAGTATACACAAACATCAGGAGGTGTATGTCAGTACACAAACATCAGGTGGTGTATGTCAGTACACAAACATCAGGTGGTGTATGTCAGTGCACAAACATCAGGGGCGACCTTATCATCAATAACAGGAAGAGTCGAGTATCTGACTAAACGCCAAGTCTTATAGTAACATGTGACCACTGTTAACTGTTAGATAGGTTAGTGGGTTAGGATGCCTAAGAACAACCAAACAAGGGTAACCTTTGATGAACTTAAGATAGTCACTGAGAGCTGTCATAACCTACGTGAACCTGTACAGACGGTTACTTGCTTTTAACAAGGACCAACAGTCGCCATTAACCCCGGTCCAGGAAGGATGACATGTGACAAACCAAAGTCTGATGTTGGACCACCTTTCACACAACCACACAGATGACACGAATTCTACCACAAAATTAACCACAACCGCTGCAATAATACTAACCCATTAATGTGTAGAGTATTAATATCCACTATTTGTGGCATAGGCTATATATATGTAATATAACCCCCTCCCCCCCCTGTGATCAGATAAGCACCTGGCAGGAGAACTTTAAAACATACACTCCACTGAAGTAATCTAAATCAATTAAAGTAAATTGACGAAATCAAGAATAAAAACAAATGCCTGCTAGGAAATACTCCACATGTCAGCGCTGGACTTTGCACAATGTGCAGCCTAATTTCATAATTCCTGAGCATGGTCGGTTTCCTCTCAAAAAGTGGATTGCACAAAAGGCTTTTTACCGACGACAAAGTCAGCTTACAAGTGCCTACACTCCTCTGGTGCCTACACATGGAGATCGCCTACGACTGATGTTATGGGTCGCTGCACTTTATGCAGCTGCAAAAGGTGTGACGTCAAACAAATGACATCACTGATGCCTCATTGGTTACATTTGGTCACGTGACTATTAAGACGTCGTCGATGGATATGACGTCAGAGCTCTACCAGGTTTAACCAAAAAAATAAACAAAACAATGTTTAACCTAAAATCCACCTTATATAATAAGTTTATACATGTTGACGTAAATATAATATTATGGTGGTGGTTCATGTGGGGGAGTGTGGTTGACAGAGGCGTGAGTAATGGTGTGGTGAGTGGTGGAGTACTGACCAGGTGGGCGGCCGGGTGAGGGCTGCTGGAGGAGGCAGGAATAACACCTCTGTCTGCGTCGACGCCGAGGCTGTGGTCACCTCCGTCTGGGTGCTGGCGTTCTTCACCTGTTGGTGGAGACTGTTTCTTAGTACGGCTCTCGTGGCTGGTGGTGGTGGTGGTGGTGGTGGGTCAGGGTCTGCCACACAGCTTGGTGGTGGTGGGTCAGTGTCTGCCACACAGCTGGTGGTGGTGGGTCAGTGTCTGCCACACAGCTGGTGGTGGTTATCTCGAGGTTATCTTGAGATGATTTCGGGGCTTTTAGTGTCCCCGCGGCCCGGTCCTCGACCAGGCCTCCACCCCCAGGAAGCAGCCCGTGACAGCTGACTAACACCCAGGTACCTATTTTACTGCTAGGTAACAGGGGCATAGGGTGAAAGAAACTCTGCCCATTGTTTCTCGCCGGCGCCTGGGATCGAACCCAGGACCACAGGATCACAAGTCCAGTGTGCTGTCCGCTCGGCCGACCGGCTCCTGGTGGGTCAGGGTCTGCCACACGGCTGGTGGTGGTGGGTCAGTGTCTGCCACACGGTTGGTGGTGGTGGGTCATGGTCTGCCACACAGCTGGTGGTGGTGGGTCAGGGTTTGCCACACAGCTGGTGGTGGTGGGTCAGTGTCTGCCACACGGCTGGTGGTGGTGGGTCATGGTCTGCCACACAGTTGGTGGTGGTGGGTCAGGGTCTATATATGAGGTTTTATACCTATATATATATTTAAACAGCAGTATTACTTATTCTAAAACTGGGTTCACAAGTGCCTATGTATGAGTGCACATGTGCGCATGTATGAATGCACATGTGCGCATGTATGAGTGCACATGTGCACATGTATGAGTGCACATGTGCGCATGTATGAGTGCACATGTGCGCATGTATGAGTGCACATGTGCACATGTATGAGTGCACATGTGCGCATGTATGAGCGCACACGTGTGCGTGTCTAAATGTTTTACGAACAAGATTGTAAATACATTGAATTCCATGTTTATGTGTCACACAATGAATGTTTAAAAGTGCTCCAGGAAGTGACCATTAACACAAGGGGCCGGCCGCTCCTGTCTCACCGTGCCTCAGCTGATTATGGCTCCACGACCACGCTTGGCGTGGCACAAGGTGCTCTACTCCTCTTGGCAGCTCGGTTGTAACCCGTTCTCGCACTTGCTTATAGTCAATATTGGCTTATTAATAAGTTCATATGTGATATACTAATTTATTGTGAATATATGAGTTTACCTTGAAAATCTGAATAGAAAACACCGACCTAACCTAACCTTCTTAGTATGTTAAGACAAGCATGTTATTGCTTCTTAATTACAGTTAGTACTTAACCTATACCTATATAGATATTACAGTTTTATAAAAATAATGAAACAAAACAAATATTTAAATAAATTGTAAAGTAACTCAGGATATTGTCAAATTTTTTTATAAAATATCTATTATTTAATGAAACTGAAAAAAATCTTAATATTAAAATTCGGTATGAAGAGTTTACACATTGAAAACAAAATATAACTTGGAATATACCATATATATACTTATTAATATACCAAATATTGATTATAAGCAATAAGTCATATATGTACTGTCTTGTGCAAGAGCGGGTTGCACTCGTATACCGTGGCCGCCCTCTCTCTCTCTGTCACACACACACACACACACACACTTAGGAGCCGGTGGCTGAGCGGACAGCATGCTGAACGCGTGATCCTGTAGTCCCGGGTTCGATTCCGGGCGCCGGCGAGAAACAATGGGCAGAGTTTCTTTCACCCTAATTCCTCTGTTACCTAGCAGTAAATAGGTACCTGGGAGATAGTCAGCTGTCACGGGCTACTTGCTGGAGTGTGTGTGGTGTGGGGAAAAAAAGAAATAGTAGTTAGTAACAGTTGATTGACCGTTGAGAGGCAGGCCGAAAGAGCAGAGCTCAAACCCCGCAAAGCACAACTAGGTGAATACACACACACACACAACACACACACATTGAGGATTGAGAAGGATTGAAACAGAGGATGATAGTAGGAGGCTACAAGATGACCTAGACAGACTGAATGAATGGTCCAACAAATGGCTGCTAAAGTTTAACCCGAGTAAATGCAAAGCAATGAAACTAGGCGGTGGAAACAGGAGGCCATACACAGGATACAGAATAGACCTCACTACCTACAAAATCCTCGGGGGAATTGACAGGGTAGACAAGGATAAACTATTCAACACTGGTGGGACGCGAACAAGGGGACACAGGTGGAGACTGAGTATCCAAATGAGCCACAGGGACGTTAGAAAGAACTTTTTCAGTGTCAGAGTAGTTAACAGGTGGAATGCATTAGGCAGAGATGTGGTGGAGGCTGACTCCATACAAAGTTTTAAATGTAGATATGATAGAGCCCAGTAGGCTCAGGAATCTGTACACCAGTTGATTGACAGTTGAGAGGCGGGACCAAAGAGCCAAAGCTGAACCCCCGCAAGCACAAATAGGTGAGTACACACACACACACACACACACACACACACACACACACACACACACACACACACACACACACACACACACACACACACACACACACACACACACACACACACACACACACACAGATGGAGACCTAAATCACGTTGGGAGACAAATGTGTGGATGTTATGGTAAGAAACTTAACACAACATGTAAAGGATGACAAGAGAAAGGGAAGGATATCCACCTGATCTTCACCCAGAATGAGAAAACCATCGAGAACTTTGAGTAAATGATGGAACTTTAAGGATGACCACGAGACTAGGGGTCAGGGCAAGGAGAGTTAACTATAGGAAAAGGGACCACATGAGGATAAGGGTACCTAGAAGATGTACACTGGGGGGTGGGGGGGGGGGGATTTATAAGAGAAACAGTACACGAAATGATGTATTAAGTGGAGATGCAAAGAGGCTGAAGAGTGCTTCATACTAAATAGAAACGTAAAAAAAGTAGAAGGGAATGGAGGAAATACAGATATTATAGGACAGAAGAAAACGGGAATAGATGCAACAGAACTAGGAACGAATACATAAATATAAAAAGAAACTACGAAAATGTGTCTTTGCTTGAGAAGCAATACCATACAAACCCCTACATGATCATACACGAAGGAACATGACAGTGAACGACCAAGTGACAAGACTACGGACAGCGGGACGGGGATATGAGACTACGCACAGCGGGACGGGGATATGAGACTACGGACAGCGGGACGGGGATATGAGACTACGGACAGCGGGACGGGGATATGAGACTACGGACAGCGGGACGGGGATATGAGACTACGGACAGCGGGACGGGGATATGAGACTACGCACAGCGGGACGGGGATATACAGAAAGTGATGCGGAGAATTGTGAGGAACTGAACGTCGGTGTCCAGGGTGTGATCACCACCGTGAGTGAACACCTCCTACTTTTGCCAGAGGAGACCATCATAAATGAGACACTCTTACATAATTAGGCAACAGTAGAGGAAGTAAAGAAACAACTAACATCGAACTAGAACTCAAGGCGTGCCCTGAGCGGGTTAGGACGTGCCCTGAGCGGGCTAGGACGTGCCCTGAGCGGGCTAGGACGTGCCCTGAGCGGGCTAGGACGCGCCCTGAGCGGGTTAGGACGTGCCCTGAGCGGGCTAGGACGTGCCCTGAGCGGGCTAGGACGTGCCCTGAGCGGGCTAGGACGCGCCCTGAGCGGGTTAGGACGTGCCCTGAGCGGGCTAAAATATAAAAACGGAAACCACGTACAAAACTCAGGCAAATCATAACATAGAACGAAAAGGCAATGTAAAGGATCTGGGTGTACTCATGTCGGAAGACCTTACCTTTAAAGAACACAATAAAGTAGCCGTCACAACTGCAAGAAAAATGACAGGTTGGATAACAAGAACTTTTCACACTAGAGATGCTATACCGATGATGATACTTTTCAAAACGCTTGTGCTCTCTAGAGTAGAGTACTGCTGCACAATGACAGCACCTTTCAAAGCTGGAGAAATTGCTGACCTGGAGAGCGTGCAGAGATCCTTTACTGCTAGAATCCACTCAGTAAAACATCTAAACTATTGGGACCGACTAAAGAGCCTAAAACTGTACTCCCTTGAGCGCAGGCGGGAGAGGTACATAATAATTTACACGTGGAAAATATTAGAGGGGCTGGTCCCAAACCTGCACACAGAAATAACATCACATGAGACCAGAAGACATGGCAGGATGTGCAGAATACCCCCGTTGAAAAACAAGAGGTGCAACTGGTACTCTGAGAGAGAACTCTATCAACATCAGAGGCCCGAGACTGTTCAACACGCTTCCACTACACATAAGGGGCATAACTGGCCGACCCCTCACAGTGTTCAAGAGAGAACTGGATAAGCACCTCCAAAGGATACCTGATCAACCAGGCTGTGACTCATACGTCAGGCTGCGAGCAGCCGCGTCCAACAGCCTGGTTGATCAGTCCGGCAACCAGGAGGCCTGGTCGACGACCGGGCCGCGGGGACGCTAAGCCCCGGAAGAACCTCAAGGTAACCTCAAGGTAAGGTAGGCTAGGACGCGCCCTGAGCGGGTTAGGACGTGCCCTGAGCGGGCTAGGACGCGCCCTGAGCGGGTTAGGACGTGCCCTGAGCTGGCTAGGACGCGCCCTGAGCGGGTTAGGACGTGCCCTGAGCGGGTTAGGACGCGCCCTGAGCGGGTCAGAACGCGCCCTGAGCGGGTTAGGTTGTGCCCTGAGCGGGTTAGGTCGTGCCCTGAGCGGGCTAGGTCGTGCCCTGAGCGGGTTAGGACGTGCCCTGAGCGGGTTAGGACGCGCCCTGAGCGGGTCAGAACGCGCCCTGAGCGGGTTAGGACGTGCCTTGAGCGGGTCAGGACGTGCCCTGAGCGGGCTAGGACGTGCCCTGAGCGGGCTAGGTCGTGCCCTGAGCGGGTTAGGTCGTGCCTTGAGCGGGTCAGGACGTGCCCTGAGCGGGCTAGGTCGTGCCCTGAGCGGGTTAGGTTGTGCCCTGAGCGGGTTAGGTTGTGCCCTGAGCGGGTTAGGACGTGCCCTGAGCGGGTTAGGACGTGCCCTGAGCGGGTTAGGTCGTGCCCTAAGCGGGCTAGGACGCGCCCTGAGTGGGTTAGGACGCGCCCTGAGCGGATTTGGACGCGCCCTGAGCGGGTTTGGACGCGCCCTGAGCGGGTTTGGACGCGCCCTGAGCGGGTTTGGACGTACCTTGAGCGGAAACATGCTGGTGGTGGGTCGGGGGACGTCCGTCACCAAGGGTAGATATCGGTAGTCTGTCTGAACGAAGGCGTCTGTCCGGCTCAGCTCTGAAAACACGTATTAACTTGGCTTAACCGAGACATACATGTTAGGATGTCTGTGACGCGCGCACGCACGCGCGCGCGCACACACACACACACACACACACACACACACACACACACACACACACACACACACACACACACACACACACACACACACACACACACACACTACTAGGGGGCCTGGTAGCCTGGTGGACAGCGCGCAGGACTCGTAATTCTGTGGCGCGGGTTCAATCCCCGTACCAGGCAGAAACAAATGGGCAAAGTTTCTTTCACCATGAATGCCCCTATTACCTAGCAGTAAATAGGTACCTTGAAGTTAGTCAGCTGTCACGGGCTGCTTCCTGGTGTGTGTGTGTGTGTGTGTGTGTACTCACCTAGTTGTGTCTGCAGGATCGAGCATTGACTCTTGGATCCCGCCTTTCGAGCATCGGTTGTTTACAGCAATGACTCCTGTCCCATTTCCCTATCATACCTGGTTTTAAAATTATGAATAGTATTTGCTTCCACAACCTGTACCTGAAGTGCATTCCATTTTCCCACTACTCTCACGCTAAAAGAAAACTTCCTAACATCTCTGTGACTCATCTGAGTTTCAAGCTTCCATACATGTCCCCTCGTTCTGTTACTATTCCGTGTGAACATTTCGTCTATGTCCACTCTGTCAATCCCTCTGAGTATTTTATACGTTCCTATCATGTCCCCCCTCTCCCTTCTTCTTTCTAGTGTCGTAAGGCATAGTTCCCTCAGGCGCTCCTCATACCCCATCCCTCGTAGCTCTGGGACGAGTCTCGTTGCAAACCTCTGAACCTTTTCCAGCTTCTTTATATGCTTCTTCAGATGGGGACTCCATGATGAGGCGGCATACTCTAAAACTGGCCTCACGTAGGCAGTGCAAAGCGCCTTAAATGCCTCCTTACTTAGGTTTCTGAATGATGTTCTAACTTTTGCCAGTGTAGAGTACGCTGCTGTCGTTATCCTATTAATATGTGCCTCAGGAGATAGATTAGGTGTTACGTCCACCCCCAGGTCTCTTTCACGCGTCGTTACAGGTAGGCTGTTCCCCTTCATTGTGTACTGTCCCTTTGGTCTCCTATCTCCTAGTCCCATTTCCATAACTTTACATTTGCTCGTGTTGAATTCCAGTAGCTATTTCTCTGACCATCTCTGCAACCTGTTCAGGTCCTCTTGGAGGATCCTGCAATCCTCATCTGTCACAACTCTTCTCATCAACTTTGCGTCATCCGCAAACATCGACATGTAGGACTCTACGCCTGTAAACATGTCGTTAACATATACAAGAAATAGAATTGGTCCCAGCACCGATCCTTGAGGTACTCCACTTGTTACTGTTCGCCAGTCCGACTTCTCGCCCCTTACCGTAACTCTTTGGCTCCTTCCTGTTAGGTAGTTCCTTATCCATGCTAGGACCTTTCCCCCCCCCCCCCCCCGCCTGCCTCTCGAGCTTGAACAGCAGTCTCATGTGCGGTACTGTGTCAAAGACTTTTTGGCAGTCCAGAAATATGCAGTCCGCCCAACCATCTCTGTCCTGTCTTATCCTCGTTATTTTATCATAGAATTCCAGAAGGTTTGTTAGGCACGATTTCCCTGTCCAGAACCCATGTTGATGTTTGTTCACAAACCTAACGTTCTCCAGGTGTGTGTGTGTGTGTGTGTGTGTGTGTGTGTGTGTGTGTGTGTGTGTGTGTGTGTGTGTGTGTGTGTGTGTGTGTGTGTGTGTGTCACCAACCTGTCCTCTTAAAAAGAACGTCGCTTTTGGCCGTTTGCCCGTATGGCCGAATTTGGACGTAATTTGAAATTGAAAAAAAAATTAAAATAAATGTGGGATTTTTTTTTTCACCAACAGTAAGTTAAGGGTCCTCTGATAGGTTAGGTGGGCAGGAAATTCTCATAAAGTTTCAAAACGTTATGAAAAACGTTAATGTAAAGTGTCCTCTCATAACGTCTGCGCGTAGGCGGGACGACTCAAATAGAAAACGGAACAGAACGTCACTTTTGTGAGTCGATTTCATTTCAAATTACGTCCAAATTTGGCCATATCGCGCATACGAGCCAAAAGTGACGTTCTTTTTAGGAGGACGGGTTGGTGTGTGTGTGTGTGTGTGTGTGTGTGTGTGTGTGTGTGTGTGTGTGTGTGTGTGTGTGTGTGTGTGTGTGTGGAAAAAAACAGTTAGTAGTTAGTAACATTTAATTGATTGACAGTTGAGAGGCGGGCCGAAAGAGCAGAGCTGAACCCCCGCAAGCACAACTAGGTGAACACAGACATTGGGGGACACTTACGGAAGTAGGTTGGGTTGGGCGGAAGTGTCTGCGTCTCCTTGTCCTCGCGGTTGCTCAGGTCCCAGTCCAGTTCCTCCTCCAGCACCTGCTTCGTCTGCACGCCCACCTCCATCACCGCCGGCCATGACAC